TCCAATTTTCATTGCAAACTTAGCACCTTAAGATTATTACAATTAATGGCCGGTTAATCATGATTAGAAAAGCAAAAGTGATAAATAACTTGCTCAAAATAATATCATCAAGTAACCAAGTAAATATCACTAACAAGATATAGAAAGTTCATCCATACTCTAGATATAAACTTTAACTAAACATAATAGAAACACAAAGCCAAACTTATATTATAACTAAACATGAAATCCAATACAAGAGAGAAAGTAGTAGAAAAGATATCACCCTTGTCACATGAGATCAATCTCTACATCTTTGCTCCTCAATCTTCATCCAAATGTAGCTACAAATACAAGAAAGATAAACTACACTAACTATACTAATCTGCTCTAACTAATGAACTAAGAAAAACTAGTGAAGACTACATTTTTGGTGATTTTCTGCAGCCTTCCAAAAGTTGTGAAAATGTCCTCTGAGACTGCTATTTATAGAGAAATTCAAGATCAAGGTGAGTTGTTAAAATTGATGTAAATTGCTCCTTTGAATCACCAAAATATACTTCTTGAATTCTCTATACTTGCTTCCTCAGTTCTAGCTGGATTTCTTGCAGATCAATTGGTAAAAAATGCTTGTGTGAACAGAGCACAAGTTGTAGAGCCGCAACTGAGGATCCGAGGTTGGATCGCTCAAAATACCTCTCGGATCTCATTTTTTTTCCATTTTTATCTTCACTGCACATTAGGATCCGAGGCCTGTAACATGGGGATCCGAGCTTGGATCCTCCTCTCGGATGTAGCCTCTCATTACAGAAATTTATCCGAGATCAGGTTTAGTACAGATCCGAACTCGGATTTACTTGCTTTATTTTTTGTCCAATTTTTAGTACAGGTCAGGTTTATTTTTTTGTCCATTTACTTGCTTTATTTGCTCAATCGAAATCCTACAAAGGTCGTGTCGAATCAAACACTAATTGAAACATCGAATGAAAGGAAACCATCGGTGAAACACTGAAAAAGTCTTTGGGAGCATTTGCTATGCTCAAATTCCAAAAGAAAAGTGTACAAGATTGAGGAAGTAAGTGAAAATGTATTTTTGCTGGTTATAACTCCAAGTCTAAAGGCTATAGATTGTTTAATTTGAAAACTAACAAAATCATCATTAATCAAGATGTTGTATTTGATGAAAATGCTACTTGGAATTGGAATGAGAAAAAGATTGTGAAGCATGCTATCTATCATCATGAAGAAGATGCAAATTCAACAAATGACGAGAAAATGGTGATGATTCAAAACCAATAAGGAGTCCACTATCATCTCCAAGTTAAAGTTCGAGTTCTCCAATCTCAACTCTAAAGAAAATGAGGAGTTTGAGTGATGTTTATGCAAGATGCAATTTTTGCATGTTTGAGCCGGAAAATTCTGAAGAAGCATATGCAGAAAAGGATTGGAGAAAGGCAATGGAAGATGACATTTATGCAATTGAGAAGAACAAGACTAGGAAACTAGTTGAAAAATCTCAAGACAAGGAGATCATTGGTATCAAGTGGATTTACAATGTCAAACTAAATTTGGATGGTTCAATCCAAAAGAAGAAGGCAAGACTTGTTGCTAAGGGTTATTCGCAGCAGCACTAGTTGCAAGATTTGGCACAATTAGAGCTCTTATTACCGTGGCAACCCGAAAAGGCTGGAATCTCTACCAACTTGATATTAAATCTACCTTTTGAATGCAGAATTGAAGGAAGAAGTGTATGTTCAACAACCTTAAGACTTTATCAAAGAAGGACAAGAAGACAAAGTATATAAGTTGAAGAAAGTATTGTATGGAATGAAACAAATTCTAAGGGTTTGGTATTGCCAAATTGATTCTTATTTCATGGAGCAAGAATTCAAGAAGAGTAAAAGTGAGCTAACCTTGCATGTGAAAACCCAAGGTGAATCTAACATTCTCATTGTTGTTTTATATGTTGATGATTTGCTAGTTATACCAGTAACAATTAAAATATGATAGCTGATTTTAAAAAAGACGTAATGAAAAGATATGAAATGAATGATATGGGATTGTTACATCATTTTCTTGGCATGGAGATTTATCAATATGATGATGGAGGCCTTTATTTGTCAAAAGAAATATGCTGAAAATATTCCTGTGAAATTTTGCATGGCATGGCTGATTGTAAACCTATGCCCACATCACTTGTTGTAAGTGATCAATTTGTCAAATATGGTAAAAAAAAAATGATTCCACTTTGTATAGAAGTTTGGTGGGAAATTTGCTTTATCTCACAGCTACAAGTCTAGATATCATGTTTGCTTCAAGTTTATTGTCAAGGTTTATTCACAACCCTAGTCAATTACATTTTGGAGCAGCCAGAAATGTGTTAAGATACATCAAAAGCACACTCAACTACAGCATTAAATTTAGCAAATGCGATACTTTAAATTTGTATGGTTATTATGATAGTGATTGGGGTGGATGCCTTGATGATATGAAGAGCACCTTACGCTATTTCTTTTCGTTTGGTTCTGGAGTATTTTCTTGGGCATTAAAGAAGCAACAAAGTATGGCACAATTATCCACTAAAGTTGAATGTGTGTTCACAAGTTTGGCAACAGCACAAGTCATTTGGCATAGGAGAATTTTTGAAGACATTGGTGAGAAGCAAAAGGAGCTACGATAATGTTCTATGACAACAAATCAACAATTGACATTGCCAGAAATTCAATTTATCATAGCAGAACTTGCCATATTGCTATCAAGCACCATTTTATTCGATATACAATTGAGGATGGTGAAGTTGAGTTAAAATTTTGCATGAGTGAAAACTAAGTTGCAGACATCTTTACCAAGGCACTTCCAAAAAACAAGTTCAACTATTTTCGAGAGCTGCTTGGAGTTCGCGGAACAGCACATTAAGAAAGGGAATATGTTAAATAATTTGCTGAATCAATTAGTTAGTTGGGAAGCTTGATTAATTACTTAGTAAGCCATTCAAATTAATGAGATAGTAGGCAAGAGAAATCTTCTCTATCATTACAAGAAATTGGCCTTTTGTGACAACATTCTTAGTGACAATAGAGAAACTTGTCACAATTGACCAACTTTAGTGACGACTTTTGATGTCATCATAGTTGACCGGGGTAGACTCGTCATCAGTGACAACACAGGATTAGTCGTCACAATATGGGGGCGCGCAATTGACCGGTGTGGCGGGAAATCACCATTATGATGATCTTAGAAAAACGTTGTCACTGAAATAGATCCTATAGTGATAATTTACAATGTCGTCACAATAGGGTAACCGATTTAGAATTAGTGATAACAATTAGTCGTCACTATTTAAAGTGCTTGTTCCTAACTCACTTTCATTAATTCTACTATGCCACCCTAATTTTTCAATATGGCCCATATGTTGTAAATAAATTTTATTAATTCTATTATGACACCCTAACTTTTACATTTTAGCCCCATATGTGGTAAACTAATCTCATTATCTCTACCATGACACCTTATCTTTTGCAATTTAAGCTCGTATGTGATAAACCGATTTCATTAATTCTAATATGGCACTCTATGCTTTACACTTTAGACTATGTTTTTCATTTGCAAAATGAGGAAAGTATTTTACTAAAAAATGTATACATATTTTATAATTGTTCCAAACTTAGATAATAACTTGTTATAAAGTTAAAATATATCATGGATCCCTGTCTAGTTCTCTTGACAACATATGGAAAATTATTGATTAGCACAGTGTGAAAAAAATGGCAAAGAACAATAAAATTTAATATGAAACTAAGTAAAATCTTGACAATTGCATGACTGGAGTTTATTATTAATTACAATAGTCAAATTATTTATGGTTTTATGAATCGGTACTTGTACCAAATGCATTTAGTCTTTCATGCATGTATTAGCAAACTTTTTGGTTATTTGATCAACTAAATAGATTATTAGGTCTTGTCAAACCACAATTCGTACATAATTGATAAAATTATTAAATTGATACCAAAAATATTTTCATTAAAAGAGTTTTTTTGAATTATAAACATATCTTTAATAAGCTTTTTAGTTTTTGAACATTATTTTTTTTGTACAGATCCTGAAAAAACCTACATTAGGAAAACAAATTATCCAAAAAGACACCAATTTAACCCCATATGTAACACACCAATTTTATTATTTCTATTATGGCACCCTATCTTTTGCAATTTAGCCCCTATTTTTTCATTAGCAATTTGCAGATGGTATCTTAATAAACTATGTATACACATTTTATAATTTTTCCAAACTTAGGTAATAATTTGTTATAAATTCTAAAGATATATCTTTCATTACAATAGTTATATGGCAGATAGGTCTTTTTATTAGATAACTATGTCCCTAAGCCCAAGATAAAAAATTTCACAAATTGCCTATTTAGTCATCAAGACAACATGTATCATTTATGAACCAATACTTGTACCAAATATATTTGACGTTTCATTAGCAAACTATTTTGATTGTTCGATCAACTAAACTGATTGCCAGGTCTTGTCAGATTGTAGTTCATACATGATTGATAGAACCATAAAATGAGTATCAAAACTGTTTTCATTAAAAGAATTTTTTTAGTCATGAATACATTTTTTAACAACCTTTTTATTTTTTGAAGTATTTTTTATTATAAATTAGAAAAAGTCCTATATTAGTAAAAGAAAATTTTAAAAATCTTTGCCCAAACACATTAAATTTTCAAATTCTAAAATTTTAATACAATTTCAGAGTTAAATAAAAAGAAAACTCAAAATAAAAAAATTAATTACATGTAGATGAGGAAATGAAAATACAAAAATAGGAGAAGGAGGAAGAAAGCATGAATCTTACTGCTAAATAGGAGAAATGCGCATTATTTATACGTAAGAAACTAAGAGCGGCAAACTGAAAAATTGAAGAGGTATGGCGGGCTGAAGGATTTTTCAAAGTACGACATTGGTTGGACACATTCGCATTCTATACCCACAACACTTGACCAAATTTTCATATCCAATTTTATCTCTTCTCCATCCTCTTTACTTAGCCGAAAATGTCCACCTGCTCCACTCTCTCCTCTACCAAATACATCCATAAATTCATTGGAGTTCGCCATTGTCATCCTTGTCTATGCTACTCCACTAATTAGTTTGAACACTTTGAATTTGGGCAGCTTTATTGACCTCGCACTACCAAAATCCCTAATTCGGTTGTAACACTGGCTTGGTGGCAAGAAATCAGAATTTAGGGCATGAAAATTAGGAGAAAGCTGCAGTTTAGAGCTTGAAACTTGGGGGAAAACAAGAGTTTAGGAATTGAAGGCATGACTTGAGGTATTTTCGATATTTTGTGTCTAATTTTCTATTGCATCGTACATAATCTTAGTGGTTACTTTTGACATTTCGAATCAGGGTTTGTTTAACATGCTGTGATGGTTTTATCTTATGCTTGGTTTCCTTCTATCTATTGTATTTCATTCCTATTCTTTTCCTTTTTTACATCTCATATCATCTTAAAGTCTTGATTTTCAGCTAAAATGTTTTGGAGATTGTGCTACTCAATGATAGTCATTGAATTTGATCTAGTGCAACTGGGTTTCTAGTCGGACCTGGCAGGGCTCCCTTCTATGTTAAATTGGGGGATGGAATCCTTACATTTTTGCTGAAGTTTTTGAAATACGAATAGTCAATTGGTAAATGTCAAAAGCAACTTGAGATTTAATCTTCGTGGGCAGGAGATAAATTGCTTAGGGATGAACGAATATTTTATATAGCAAATTGATAAACAGATTGATGACTTTGGTAATCTTGGAGTCTTATTTTCTTGCCAAAAGATCCAAACTTGTGCTTAAACTTGGGGAGTTTGGAATGTTACTTGGTACTAGCTGAGGTTAGTTTGTATGGGTTGGAGCGAAATAAGGAATTTAAACCAAAAGTCAACTATTTGAAAATACACCTCCTTTTTGAAAACTGTACTTGATACTTTCTCCCTTCAATTGTATTGTGTGGCTTTTGTACCATTTAATTCCATCTCCTCTCATTTGTATTAGCAAGAAAGATTTACTCTGCAACTGCACAATTTGGACATCTTAATTGTTTCAGTGAATTCCAATATTCAAACATTCTCTTTCCAGCTTTTCATGAAAAAAAGCTACTTTGTATTCTCTTCTGTTATGGCCTCTTTTTTGGGTGTTTATAGTTTAGCTTCTTTTTGTTTGCTGGTTTCTTGATTTTTGTTCATCGCACTGTCTACACCTGTTATTGCTATATGCAGGTATTCATTCTCTGTCCTTTTTTTTGGGTTTTTATTTTCCCTCATGTAGCTTGTTGTAATGCCTCTGAAAGTACTCTAGGACATTCATCTGATTCTTGGCTTTATATATATATATATATATGTATATATGTATATATATAAAGCTTTATTGTTCAGCTGTGTGTTTAGCTTCTCTGTTGTTCGTGTTTTGCTGCATTGGTTTCTTACAATCTGTTCAACGCACTATCAACTGCTATTTTTCTTCAGGCAAGTATTTAATCTCTTGCTCTTTTTCTTGTTGTAGCAGCTACCAAAGTATTGTGGGATATTCCTTGTGGTTCTCTTCTGGTTTACATGTCTTGCATTTTACTCCTTTTATTGTCTGCAGGTATATACTTTATATTTGAATACTTTGGATTTGTTGAATGGTTAACATGCCTCCTTATTTTCTCTGCTATTCGATAATGAATCTGTTTACCCCAATTGCACTTTTTAGTTACTTTCATTGTCTGTCTTGCTTTTTTTTTTTTTTCAGTGTCATTGCTCTTGGTTTGTTGAGGCTTGAGTTTCAGGTACTTCTCTTACTTATAGTTCTATAAGATTAGTTATTTATTTAGGCTTCGAATTTATATTTTTGCTATACCATGTTGTTATTTCTGCATTGGGCATCTTCTTTTTACAAATATGCAGTGGCTGGTTCTGTGTTTCTAAAAATGCATTGTGTTGTTAGCTAGCGAATTTAGCTTATGAAATTGATTATTCATGTTATGGCTTTATTTTTAGTTTGCCAATTTTTTCCATGTATATTTGGCTATAGATTCTGTTTAGTTTGTTCCCTTGCTCATGCATTTATTTTTTAACTTCTTTTACCGCAACTATGCACACTTTATACTAATAATCGTATTACTACCCCTGCCCATTAGTACATATATTGAATTTGAACAAACGAAACAGTCATTCATATATGTATTCTCAATATTAGCTATTTTTTCCCTAATTGCTAATAGAGGCAAGTATTCATAATAAAAACTAAATGACATTCACAGTTTTTACAAATGATTTTCCCATAGTTATGATCGCATTTGCAGATATTGACTTTGGCACTTAATATCATCAAACTATCTACTGAACAGTTTCCCAACTACCTAATTCAATTATTTACCTCAGTAAAGTTTCTTAATATATAGAACAATATTAGAAATTGCTTCTTCACACATATCTAATAGAAGCTTGCTCTTTGACTTCTAACTCATGAAATGGATCACTGTGAAAATATTGGATCATCTAGTCAACCTTCAAGGAATTAACTTTCACCGAGTTCTGGACAAAGATTAATTCAGCAACTAGTATCATCATAGATGAAGCTTGATTTTATTAAAAATTTAACTGAAGAAATGCGCTTCTACCAAGTTGTTACCAAACAAAGCATGAACAAATTTATGCTATCACTTGCTTATATTCCGAATATGTTGGCTAAGCAAATATGTCTAACAAATAAGTTGTTTGGAAATAATTAATAATGTTCTCTTTATTTTGGCTAAAACTCTATTTTGACTGATTCTTTTACTTCTTATCATGTTGACAGTAATTGGAGTCTTGTTTTGTATGACTATTCATTTAAATTTAGTAGTGTAAGGTTGTAATATCATATTTTCTGACTAAAGTCTATTCTAATGCATATAATACTTTATTTTCAATGCAGTCCACCTTGATATTGATCACGAGGAGTCTGTTGGATATGATGATAGAGTGGTTGAAGTCTGACATTGGTGGTGCAATCTATGTTTTAGTTTAGAAATCTAGTACTCTATTTTTTGGAAAGGATATGTATTGGCCATTAGTGCTTGAACTGATTATGTGAGTTTTGGGATCCAATATTTTTGGTTGACTTCTATTTTGATGAATTTACAGATGTTTATGGCCATATATATGAATTTGTGGCTTCATTCTAAATTAATTTTGGTTTTTGTCAATTTGAATGTTCTACTATAATTTATTGGAAATGCTATATTCGTAATGATTAATTTTAACTCTTCAAAACAAAGTTCAGTGACAACTTTCGAAGGTTGTCACTACATGCAAGTTCACTAAGTGACAACTATTCTTGTTACTGAATAATAGGATTGATAGTGACAAATTCAAGTCGTCACTGTAGACTTCAAATTTGTGATGACTTTTGCTACATCTATGACAAAAATATAAGTGAAATGGTGACAAGAAAAGTCATCACAGAATGATATCCATTAGTGATGACTTTCTTCTCGTCATTGAATAACAAGATTCTGTGACAGCTTTTAAAAGGTTGTCACATGGATTCATTTGTGACATAGAATCTGTGACAACCACGTGACAACGGAAAAATTTGTCACTTTATCCATATAATGACGACTTTTTGGCTTTCAATGACGGCTTTTTGTTGTCACAAAAGACCAATTTTCTTGTAGTGTATGTATCTAAAAGATTGGAAATTAAGTGAAACACTTGGTATAGGTAAGTCACTTTCATTTCTCACATCATTAGATCATGTGGCTTTTGCTATAAAGTCACCTTTTAATGATCCACCAAGGCCTAAAATGGTGGATTATTCGTTAACTAAACCTCCTTGAAAAATGAGGTGATATAGTCAAGCTATTGACTTTAAAGAAGCGCTTATTGGGAGGCAACCCAATGCTTGTTTAAGTTGGTGTTACTTTGGAGTGATTTTATGTTTAAAGTATAAGTTTGAGTAATTTTGTTGTTTTTCATTTGTAGGTTTTGAAAAGTGACCAAATGAGGAGAAAAGGGCGAAGTTTGATCAAAGATCTCAATACCTCAATTTCAGTAATTATGGTTTTTGATGCATTAAAGAGGTTTAGAATGCATGTTTAGATCATTTTACATGTGCGTGAATGGTTTATTTTGATATAGAAATGATCTAGGGTGTATTTTGAAAAATTGGGGTCAAACTGAAAAATTGCAAAAATTCTGCAATAAGTTCAGGTTCAATGGATCCGAGCTCGGATCCATATGGATCCGAGGCCTCGGATCTACTTCTGCAATCAGAAAAAAAAAAAAAAAATTTCGAACTTCTTGATCCGAGCTCACTCACAATGATCCGACCTCGGATCCTTTCAAAAACGACCTCGGATCCTGTTAAAACGAAGGCTTGGATCACTTTTCAACTCCACTTTTCTTCATGTTGGCTTGTTTTTAGTAAGTTTTAATTGTTCGATTAATGTTTTTGTGTGTTTTGTAGGTGGCAATGGCAAGAGTTCATGCAAATGATCTCAATTGCAAAGGTGTTTATATTAAGGCAAAAAGGGAGTTTTCATGTTCAATTGCTGCATTTCATGCATTTAAGGTGTTTCATGTTTAACTTATATTCATGCATGATCATGTTAAATTTGAATTTTATTCAAAGAACATGAAATAGGTTGAATGTGGAAGGTTGGCCAAGCAAATTTGGAGGAAAAACTGCAGAAAACAGCTTTTTCTGCAGCAAATCCGGCCATAAATCCGGCCAAATGTTGGCCGGATTGAAGGCCGGATAGTCAGGGAGAGAAGAAAATTTTTCGAGCATTCTGGACAGAATCCGGCCGAAAATCCGGCCTGAAATCCGGCCAAGAATCCGGCCAGAAACTGGCCGGATATGCAACAGTTAAAAAAAAAAAAAAAAAAAATTCTGCCAGAATCCCTCCATGAATCCCTCCAATTTCTGGCCGGATTGTGAACAGTAACCAGCGTAAGATGAATCCGTTTCACGGATTTCTCACAATTTTTCTCCCTTCTTCTTCAACCCAACTCACACACTAACACCTCAAACACACACCACTCACTAAAACACCACTTCTCACCATTTAGTCTTCAAATAACCTTCACCAAATCACTTTCTCCTATCCTCTAGAGTGAATTTCATAGTTCATATTCTTTCAAAAACAACTCTAAAGTGGTTCAAGTTTACCATTAGTTAGGGTTCTACCTTCTTGAAATCACTCAATGGAGGTCATATTGGAGTAAGTTCTTGGGGGTTTTCACATCATATTCATCTCTAAACATCACCAAACTACCTTGAGGTAACAATTCTTCACCTAACTTTGTTATTTGAATTTTGCCATGAATGAATATTTTCTATTTTTAGGCAATTTTTAATATGTGAAGTTAGGTGCATTTATTTGATCTTATTGATGCTATTGGTGATTGTTAGTGATAACTATATTTTGTGATTTGCATTTATTGTACTTATTTGGTGAATTCTTGCTAGTTTTATGCTTAATTTGGCTTGATGACCAAGTTGCATATTAAGTGGCCAATGTAGCATTTTAATTAGCTTTGTGGGAGTTTATGATATTCATGTGAGTAAGAAAATGACCTTAATTGATGAAATTCATAAATGCACTTATAATCCTTGTGGTTCAATGGTTTTTAGTATTTCATGAATTCTCAGAAGGTCATTATATTTTGGTTTGGTGTGTTTGTCTCCATTTTGAGATTACTTTTGTACTTGCGGGGATTTGATCATTGATGACAAAATGTATAAATGGAACTTATTTTGTTCATGATTGTGGATTTTTTGTGTGAAATTAGCTTCCCTTTGCTTTGGATACTAATGCATATATTTGATTAGCAAAGATTAGCTCATTTCATGTTTTTATCCCTTGAACATTGTATGGTTCCACATGCTTGATCATTTTTCCTTTTTCCTTGAATTGCATGATTTTGTTGATTGCAACCTTTTATTTTTAAGAAATTTATTTGTTTTGATTTTGTCTTTTTCAGGGTGCAATAAGTGAACTCTCCATTCTTTCTCAAATACGGTTGGAAATTCATCACTTGGACATGGATTGGATTGCGCAAGTTCAATTGAGCAGTATTTTCTTTTACTCTTATTTATTTTCCTTTTCTCACATTGAGGACAATGTGAAGTTTAAGTGTGGGGGAGGAAATATTGAACTTGCATTTACTTGCTAGGTGATGATATTTTGTGGATTTAAATGCTTAGAAATGTTGGAATTGTGTTTGAATTATTTGCCATGTGGATAATTTGCTTGAAATTGGGTTTGTTGGCAGGGAGTTTTCATCCATTTATAAGGAGAAACTCTGTAAAATTTTTCTAAAATCTTTTCCAATATTTCACTATGGCCCAAAAGTTCTTCAAATTCTTGCATTTTCATTCAAAAAGGGCTAATTGTTCCAACCTTATTCTTCCAATTGTTGAAATTTATATGTATTTTGGAAGGTTTAGTCCTCATTTAACTTGGAAATGTTATTATGCAATTAGAATTTTTACATTTTAGAAAGTATATTTGGTAAAATGAGGAAAATTATGCCTATAATTTTACATGTTTAATGAGATTTCTTCTCTTTACTTAATTTTGCAAGTAAGTGATTGATATAGTCGATAAAGGTTATATTCCTCCTTTGATTATTCTTATATATTTTCTAAGAGGGAATATCTATTTATTGTCCTTTATTTCTGAAAAAGAAAAAAAAAAAGAAAAAAAAAGAAAAAAAAAAAAGAAAAGAAAGAAATAAAAATTGTTCTACTCCAATGATTCTCGTACCGAGTAACCGGGGTTGGCATCTACAAATGTCGACATTCGCGTAAAAAGGTACTTGAATTAAGAGTATGCATTAGCAACTTGAATAAGTGAAATGTTGAGTAACCGGGGATCTTCACCTAAAAGTGTCGATTTTCGCGTAAAAAGGCATTCTCACTATTTAAGTAAAATTTGTGTGAATAAATCCCTCTTAGTTATAGAATTTTGAGAAAAAGATGATTATAGGAGGAGGAAGGCTATAAATTGACTATGTGATTTGCTTATTTGTAAAATTAAGTTAGGGTAAGAGATTAAGTTTAACTTGTTGAATTTAGGGTATAATTATCTTTCCTTTACTTGATATTATGAGTATTTAGTGTAAATTGAATAATTGTATAATGATTATTTTCAAGTCTTGAGGAATTAAATTGGACAAAGTGCATATATTGTTTCACCTCTTGAATCATTGCATTTGATTATGTGTGAATTGCTTGAGGACAAGCAATGATTTAAGTGTGGGGGAGTTTGATAAGTGACTAATTTACGTAATAATTGTATGATATTTTATATTATTTTTAGTCACTTTGATATATTATTGGAAGAAATGAATCATTTTGGCTATAATTGGTGAAAAATGCTTTTAAGTGATTAAATGAGGTTTTTATCACTTTTTGTGGATTTTGTGTATTTTGACAGTTTTGACACATTTTCGTATTTCGGCTATAACTTGAGCTACAATGATCGGATTGGGATGATTCTTGAACCCATTTGAAGATAAGAGATAGATCTACAACTTTGGTGAAGACATCTGAATCCAGTTTGAAGGTTTTCCAGGTCAAAAAGCCGAAGTACAGAGTCAATTGCTATTGGTCGAAACTGGAACAAGGCATGGAGCAGGCAAGGGTATTTCGTCATATCTCAGCCTACACAGATCCAAATGAGGTGATTCTTGATGCATTGGAAAGATAAGTCAAAAGGCTACAACTTTCGTGTTTTAGACATGAGCTGGTTCAGCCTCTAACATCAAGAAAAGATCGGTTGAAGTTGAGCCAAAAACAGAGCAAGTGATCCACACTCGGATCCACTATTCATCCGAACCCTCGGCTGTTTCTGGGTTAGTGGATCCGAGCTCGGATCCATACGGATCCGAGGCACTGTAGCAGCTCGGATCACTGTAGCAGCCCAGATTTACTGTAGCAATCCGGCCGGAATTTGGCCGGATTTGTGGCCGGATTCCTGGCCGGATTGTGGTCAGAGAAGTCTGCTTTTTACGCGGAAAACTCAATTTCACCTCCACCAACTCACATGGGATGCTATACATGTGAGAAACATTCCCAGCTGTAAAAGGAGATGTAATCCTCATTTCTTGACCACCTTTCATCATAAAAGAGCCAAATTCATTGCAAAAGAAA